GGCTGTGTGGCCTGAAGCACTAGTAAGGCAAGTAACGTCTGGGAGAGACGCCCTCACGTAATTCAGTTGCAGCTCATGGTGTCCTCTAGTCTCCTTCCAGCAGGAGCGCGAGGGTCTGATGGGGTGTCGCGTGACAGATGGGGGAGCCAAGTCCCTGGCACTAGGAGCCGTGCCAAAGGTGAACGGAGCCAAATTCCCTCTTGCCACAGTGGGATCAGGGAGGAAGGTGACTTCCAGCCTTGTTTTGCAGCAGGTGCTCTTGCCCTGGGGTTGCAAAGCAAGTCCAGCGCGTGATTGTGGAGCTCCGCGCGCCCTGTCAAGAGCTCAGCGTTCACTGCAGCTTCGCGCCCACCCTGTTCCCCCACTGAGCCTGTTCTTAGCCCCCTCAGCCTTGCCCCTTGCACCCTCGGCAAGGTCTCCTCAGCACCAGACGTGCCAGCCGCCCCAAGCACAGCACTTCGGTGCCGTGTACTGACGGGAGTGCCGGTGTGGGGAGGCCTCGTCCTCTCAGCGACACTTCAGTGCCGTTGCCCAGGGTGGGGAAACTTTCGCAGGTCAGGGGAGTCGCTGACCCACAGAAAAATCAGTCGCGGGCTGCACAAAAGTGAAAAAAAGTCACGGATGTGGGCCCGGACGGAGACGCAGAAAGATGCTCCCCACGTTCCCCTCACACATCACAGCCTGGGGGGAGGGGCTGGCTAGTAGATTGTGTAGGCCCCCCGGGCTCCAGGATGGGGTCAAAATGAGGGGTGCAGTGTGTGGGAGGGGGCTGCTGGGAAGTAGGGCAAGTTCAGGAGCCTCAAGGGCCAGAACCAGGCAAACGGGGGGAGGGGTCTTCCCACCTCCTGCATTTTTGCCCTTTGAGTTCTGGGAGCCGTTCCCACATGCCCTAGCCAGGGAGGGGCATTCCCAGGGCTGGGTTCAGCCACTACATACAGCAGATTTGATACTTACAGGGACGTAATACATTTCCTCCTCCCCGTGCCGCCTTTTCTTAATGCCCGCCCCTAGGGCAGGAATCCCCTGGGGGCTCTGTTTGAAAGCTGGGGAAGGAGACGGGAAAGAGCGTTAGGAGACAATCAAGTTAAGTGTGATCATCTGCGCTGCCAGGCCCTAGTTCTTCCGTAACATCAGGGCTGGGAATCGCATTAGAGCAAATCTTAGAGCTCCTAGCAGGGCAGGCAGCGGCTGACGAGCCCGGCTAATGGAAAGCCAGACCCCAGGAGCAGGGAAACAGACAACGGCTTCCCTGATTGCCCAGCAAGAGGCACTCCAAGCCCTGGAGAGGGGCACCTCCGCTGGACAAAGCTTCCTGCCCGAACTACCGGCCTCCAGCTCGCAAGGGGAGAGCGAGCGGCAATAGCTGCGTGTCCCTAGGCCCTCGGGAGTGATCTGCTTTCTTAAAATAGAGGAAGCTCAAGACAGACCAGTCCCTGTCGCTGGTGGCGAGGAGCGCCCGCATCACAGGGCAGGGCGGGGAAGCGGTTGCGTAGGAGCCGGTTAAGAGCCAAAATCACTTTGTAAGGTTTTACTGCAGGTAAAGAACAGCCCTGAGGTGGCTTACTCAGCATGTGCCACCTTTGTTGGGGCGGGAGGAATTAGTGATTAAATATTACACCAAAAACTCAATTCTCTGCCTCCCACTTCTGACCCCTGCCCTAAACTCGGCAGACGCTTTGCCTGCCGCTAGCCGGTCTCCAGAAGGGCCAGTTCTCCAGAGCAAAAACGCCACAGGGAGAAACTGGCCAATGCTGGATGACAAGGGATGGGAAGAATTCCTTGCGGATGCCGGTGGAAGATAAGCTTAAGCCCAGGAGTATGTTATTTCTTTGGCTAGCTGAGCACTAACACACACTCGCCTTTAACAATAATAATGAGCAGGGCTTGACAAACTGCTGAATCTACTTGCCCGTGGCGAGTAGATTTCAGCTGGTCGCTCCGTGCACCCCATTCGCCGGTGCTTTGCGCATGCGCAGTGCCAGTCTGGCGCATGCACGGTGCGGGGCTGGCGAGTAGCTCTCGCCGGGGTTTGTCAAGCCCTGATAACGAGCAAGTAGCTCTGGACAATGAAGCACCGGCACTAAGAATGCCACTCTGCCAAGTTTTGCAGGGGAAGCCGTGTTAGTCAGTTTCAGCAAAAACAACCAGGAATCCAGTGGCACCTTCAAAACGAACGAATTAATTTGGGCACCCGTTTCCGTGGGCTGGAACCCATCTTGTCAGATGCACGACGTGGAAACTCCAGTTTGGCAGGGATATACACACGTGCAAAGATGGGTAGGTTACATTAGCATGAAGGGGACCTGTGCGAACGAGGTCAGTTCAATTAAACTCCGCTCTACTCTGCACTGATTAGGCCTCCATTGGAGTACTGTGTCCAGTTCTGGGCACCACATTTCAGGAAAGATGTGGAGAAATTGGAGAAGGTCCAGAGAAGAGCAACAAGAATGATTAAAGGTCTAGAGAACATGACCTGTGTGGAAAGACTGAAAGAAATGGGTTTATTGAGTTTAGAAAAGAGAAGACTGAGAGGGGACATGATCGCAGCTTTGAAGTACCTAAAAGGGTGTTACAAGGAGGAGGGAGAAAAATTGTTCTCCTTGGCCTCAGATAACAGGACAAGAAGCAATGGGGCTTAAAGTTCAGGAAGGGAGGTTTAGATTGGACATTAGGAAAAAATTCCTGCCTGTCAGGGTGGTTAAACACTGGAATAAATTACCTAGGGAGGTTGTGGAATCTCCATCTCTGGAGATATTTAAGAGCAGGTTGGACAGACACCAGTCAGTGATGATCTAGGTGCTCAGTCCTGCCATGAGGGCAGGGGACTGGACTTGATGACCTCTCGAGGTCCCTTCCAGTTCTAGTGTTCTGTGATTGACGGGGAGTGGCTAACTCACTACAAAAAGTAATTTTCTCTCTTGGTATTCATACTGTCTCATCACCTTTTGGGAGTGGGCCACATCCCCCCTGATTGAATTGACCTCGTTAGCACAGGTCCCCCACATAGTAATGTGACTCACCCATCTTTGCACGTGTGTATATATCCCTGCCAAACTGGAGTCTCCAATTCATTCATCTTATGAAGTGGGTTCTAGCCCATGAGAGATGATGCCCAGATACATTTGCTAGTCGTTAAGGTGCCTCAGGCCTCCTCGTTGTTTTCCCCCCTTTGTTCAGGCTGCCAGGTTTATAGCTGACACATGGATTTGAGCGACAACGTTGGGATTGGGGCGTTTCTCATCTAAACTTCACCCAAGTTTCGCACTGCTGCTGCCCAGGAAGGACAGGCTGTGCCCTGGACGGCACCAGCTCAGACGTCCTAGGCAGAGCAAAGCCGGAGGTCTCCCGGCTTGACTGGAGGACTCACTGCGCTTGTTGACGTTGCCGTTTTTAGCTGCATTTTCATTCAGGGCTTGTTGCTCTCGGAAGTGGTCTTCGTCGGCTTTCCGGTCTCGGCCGGGACAGGCGCAGATCCGCCCTTCGAAGGATCTCCTCCCCAACACTTGGCCACTGGGGAGCAGAGCAAAACCAAAAAGGGAAACAATCCGACTGTGCCTAACCCTCCTTCTCGGTGGGGCTGGGTTTTGTGGCTCTGGACTCTGTGCCGATGGCTGACTTCAAAAGCTTGGAAACGCTCCCGGAAAGAAAACAGAAGAACCCGCCTTCCCCAAAGAGCTCAGGATAAGGAATGCCCCTCCTCTGAGCACCTAACAAGGGTTTTCCACAGGAATTGGTAAGTTCGGAAGCCCAAGGCTGCTGTACATATGCCCCAGGCCTGATGCAGTATATGAATATATAGACACACGCACACACCCAGACTGTGCGCGATCTTGCACAAAAACATGCTGCCTGCCTACATGGGTGAGGAGTCCTTGTGCAAGATCACTGACGTTCTAATGTATGAAGTCAGGGCTGCTTGCACAAGAACGATGATGCTCCCGCTCAGGAATAAGCCCTCTTGTGCAACTGTTCTTGTGCAAGAGGCCAGTGTAAACAGGCAACATGAATTTATTGTGCAAGAAAGCCCGATGGTTAAAATGGCCATCGGAGCTTTCTTGTGCAAGAGAGCATCTGCACTGGCACGGATGCTCTTGCGCAAAAGCACATCTCTTGTGCAAACACACGTGCCAGTGGAGATGCTCTCTTCTGGAAGAGTTTTTGCACAAGAACTCTTCCGCAAAAGAGTTCTTGCGCAAAATCATGCCAGTGTAGACGTAGTCGAGGTGCTGTGTTCCACGTAAACTCCCTGTGATGCCCGGGCTCTTCTGCAGATCCCTTTGGCTGGGGGTGAATTTTCTCTGGTGGCTTTTCCTCTCTGATTGACAAAAGGCAAAGATTGTTATACCCTAAGGCTACGTCTACACTGGCATGATTTTCCGGAAATGCTTTTAACGGAAAAGTTTTCCGTTAAAAGCATTTTCAGAAAAGCGAGTCTAGATTGGCAGGGCACTTTTCCGGAAAAGCACTTTTTCTGGAAAAGCGTCCGTGGCCAATCTAGACGTGCTTTTCCGCAAAAAAGCCCCGATTGTCATTTTCGCGATCGGGGCTTTTTTGCGGAAAACAGCCCTGTGCTGTCAACACTGGCCCTTTTCCGGAACAGTTTTCCGGAAAACAAATCTGAGCTGTCTACACTGGCCCTTTTGCACAAAAGCTTTGCGCAAAAGGGACTTTTGCCTGAACTGGAGCAGAATAGTATTTCTGCAAGAAGCACTTATTTCTTACAGTAGGAAGTCAGTGCTTTTGCGGAAATTCAAGGGCCAGTGTAGACAGCTCGCAGCTTTTTCCGGAAAAGCGGGTGATTTTCCGGAATAACTTGCCAGTGTAGACACAGCCTAAGGGGTATATCTACACTGCAGAGTTTTTTCAGAAAAACTATGCTTATGTCCACACTGCTGTGTTTCCTTTCAACAAAAAGTCGAAAGAATGCAGGGGGTTTCCAACAGCAGTAAACCTCTTTCTATGAGGAAGAAGCCTTTTTCCGAAAGAGCTGTTTCGGAAAAAGGTGCATATGGATAGGGAAGAGGAGGGGGTTTTTTTCGAAAGAAGAGGCCTCCAGGAAAAAACACAGGTGCCCTGGTGGCCACTCTGTCCATAGTAATCACAACTTAAATGTGATATACCATCCAATCAGTGTGGATGCTATCTTTCGAAAAAGAACGTTGCTTTTTCGATGCATTTTTGCTATGTGGACTCAGTCTTTCGGAAGAAGTTTTTCTGGAAGATCTCTTCTCCGGGCTGTGAAGGTGCACAGTGGGAGAAGGGCAGGCCCTGCCCATCTCCCACACACAACTACCCCCTAAGGCACTTCGTAGCCACTAACTTCCCACTCAGGGGATGTCACTTCCCCTCGTCTTTCCTGCGGTGGGTCTGCCCCAGGCCAAAGATGCTTGAGCAGGAGGTTTGCCTCGGGCTGCAGCTTCTAGAACTTTCCAGGGGTCTGGCAAGTGGCTCGCTGGGGTTTGGCTAACTCCTTGGTTTTCTCTCCCCAGGCCATGAGTGGTTCATACTCCGATGCGGTCTGGGCGAGAGTCTATCTAGTTACGCAGCTGACACTTGGTTCATAACCTCCCCGTGCTGCCCCAGGAGAGCCCGGCTCCGGCGTGAAGCAGGGAGGGGATGTCTGGCCTTGGCACCACCAGAATGACTCACTCTCGTGTCTCCAGGGTAATAATGATGAGGATGGGTCGCCGGTTCATCCCTCCTACGCAGCTGCTGTTACACATGAAATTGTACAGGATGGTGGTGAACTCGGTCCCAACCTGCCCGAAGGAGAGGAAACGACACACTGAGCATCAGGGAGAAGGGGGTGTTCAAAGCCCGGGGGAGGTGGTGGCAGAACTCCGTCACTGTGTGTGTGTGTGTGTGGTGTGTGTGTGTGATGGTGGCAGAACTCCGTCACTGTGTGTGTGTGTGTGTAGTGTGTGTGTGTGTGGTGTGTGTGTGTGATGGTGGCAGAACTCCGTCACTGTGTGTGTGTGTGTGTAGTGTGTGTGTGTGTGGTGTGTGTGTGTGATGGTGGCAGAACTCCGTCACTGTGTGTGTGTGTGTGTAGTGTGTGTGTGTGTGGTGTGTGTGTGTGATGGTGGCAGAACTCCGTCACTGTGTGTGTGTGTGTGTAGTGTGTGTGTGTGTGGTGTGTGTGTGTGATGGTGGCAGAACTCAGACACTCTGTATATGTGTGTGTGTGTGTGGTGTGTCTGTGTGATGGTGGTAGAACTCAGTCACTCTGTGTGTGTGTGTGTGTGTAGTGTGTGTGTGTGTGGTGTGTGTGTGTGATGGGGGTAGAACTCAGTCACTCTGTGTGTGTGTGTGTGTGTAGTGTGTGTGTGTGTGGTGTGTGTGTGTGATGGGGGTAGAACTCAGTCACTCTGTGTGTGTGTGTGTGTGTAGTGTGTGTGTGTGTGGTGTGTGTGTGTGATGGGGGTAGAACTCAGTCACTCTGTGTGTGTGTGTGTGTGTAGTGTGTGTGTGTGTGGTGTGTGTGTGTGATGGGGGTAGAACTCAGTCACTCTGTGTGTGTGTGTGTGTGTAGTGTGTGTGTGTGTGGTGTGTGTGTGTGATGGGGGTAGAACTCAGTCACTCTGTGTGTGTGTGTGTGTGTAGTGTGTGTGTGTGTGGTGTGTGTGTGTGATGGGGGTAGAACTCAGTCACTCTGTGTGTGTGTGTGTGTGTAGTGTGTGTGTGTGTGGTGTGTGTGTGTGATGGGGGTAGAACTCAGTCACTCTGTGTGTGTGTGTGTGTGTAGTGTGTGTGTGTGTGGTGTGTGTGTGTGATGGGGGTAGAACTCAGTCACTCTGTGTGTGTGTGTGTGTGTAGTGTGTGTGTGTGTGGTGTGTGTGTGTGATGGGGGTAGAACTCAGTCACTCTGTGTGTGTGTGTGTGTGTAGTGTGTGTGTGTGTGGTGTGTGTGTGTGATGGGGGTAGAACTCAGTCACTCTGTGTGTGTGTGTGTGTGTAGTGTGTGTGTGTGTGGTGTGTGTGTGTGATGGGGGTAGAACTCAGTCACTCTGTGTGTGTGTGTGTGTGTAGTGTGTGTGTGTGTGGTGTGTGTGTGTGATGGGGGTAGAACTCAGTCACTCTGTGTGTGTGTGTGTGTGTAGTGTGTGTGTGTGTGGTGTGTGTGTGTGATGGGGGTAGAACTCAGTCACTCTGTGTGTGTGTGTGTGTGTAGTGTGTGTGTGTGTGGTGTGTGTGTGTGATGGGGGTAGAACTCAGTCACTCTGTGTGTGTGTGTGTGTGTAGTGTGTGTGTGTGTGGTGTGTGTGTGTGATGGGGGTAGAACTCAGTCACTCTGTGTGTGTGTGTGTGTGTAGTGTGTGTGTGTGTGGTGTGTGTGTGTGATGGGGGTAGAACTCAGTCACTCTGTGTGTGTGTGTGTGTGTAGTGTGTGTGTGTGTGGTGTGTGTGTGTGATGGGGGTAGAACTCAGTCACTCTGTGTGTGTGTGTGTGTGTTTTGGGAGAATGTTCACGGAGGAAGATGAATTTCTACCCTTGCTCTAAGGCGATATCCCTTTGAATGAGGATTACGTAGCCATTGTGACTGTTGGGGGCCTTCGTTACTTTCATACCATGCTAGTTTTGTGGGACCTTACTGCCAGCTGTTTCATTCACTGACCCGCGTATGTGACATTGCAGCTGGAAATTCAGCCCCCTCCCCCAATGTACTAACTTACCAGCACCCCGGGGGGCACGCTAAGCTTTCCACTCACCGTTTTTATTTCATGAGTGGCTTGATGTGCCACTGAGGAGTTCTAGCTGGGCTGACATTTCTATTACCCTGCACCAGGCTCTGTGCCCCAGTGGATTGGAAGCAAGATTCTCCTTTAAAGTGAGATGCTTTGGCAGAGCCCGAAAGGGAAGGAGAACGGGCCCAGTGGATTTGCTATCGAAGGCTGCAACAAGAGGGATACTATTCTCCAGACACTGAAGCGCCATCAGGTGTCTTGTGAAGGATCTAGATTCATCTCCTAGGGCAGATGCTAGTTTCAGCTACTCATCAGGTGTCTTGTGAAGGATCTAGATTCATCTCCTAAGTACCACAGGGCAGATGCTAGTTTCAGCTACTCCGTGCCAATGGAGCCACCGCAAGGTCAGATTCGGGCGGCAGCTGTAACTTTATTGCAGAAAACTCTTCTCCCTCCCCAGCGCCCCTCATCCTCTTGGGACCAAGAGAATACCTGTGGTGGCTCGTATGGCACCATCACACTCTGCCGTCCGGTGACGGGGTCATCCACGTACTGAGAGAGATTGTTGCCTTCCACCCGGATCAAGTGGCTGGCCGGAGCGGCCTGGCCTGCAGAGGCAGATAGCAGAGTTAGAGGAAAGACCCTTCTTGTTTTGGCCTGCTGGCCTGAGAACGAGTGTGATTCTGAAATCTGTGTAGTTTCACGGTGGGGGAAGCAGTGGGAACGCTCACAGGTCGGTTTCCACCAGGCACGTTTCTGTTTAGCTTACGGTGCTTGGGAATCAGGTTAAACAAGCCAACATAAGCGAGTTGAATGGGGAGGGGTGCTATTCTCAGGAAAAGGGGTGTAAAAAAACCGATGGCAAGTAAACCAGTTCAACATCCGTGTGTAGACACTGTCCCCTCCAGCTTCCCCTCAGCTCCACCTGCTTGTAAGGGGCCCAAGGGGCCTGCTTTGAGTCAGGCCACATAACAACTGACCTCAAAATTCAACCCAATGTGGCATTAAGCGTAAACCTGAACTTCCTGAGGAGCCAAAGGGCTTGTTGAACTGATTTTTGCTCCCACTGGGCTCCGTTCCCGGGGAGCCAGAACCAATGCAGGACTGGGCCCGTCACCGAAAGCAAGTACAGGGGAGCTGACAGCTTCCCCCGGGGCAAGGTGGTGGGGCCCAGCTCCATGTGCCCAGAAGGGGCGGGGCCTCGGGAAGGGGCGGGGCCTCAGGGGAAGGGGCAGGGCTGGGTGCAGCCAGCCCTTGGCACCACCTGGAGCGCATCCCCCCCTGCCGCACCCTGAGCAAGGCGTGGGCACAGCTCCA